GGATGGAAGGCTGAGTCAACCCTGAGCCTGGTGAGATTTGAACCGCTGAACTGCAGAACTGCAGTCAGCTGAAGTGGCTGCAGTACTGCACCCTAACCACTGCGCCATCTCTGCTCTTATCAGGGGTGGGATTGAAAAATGTTAGCAACCGGTTCTCTGCCGGTGGCTGGGTGGGCGTGGCCTACTCAGCCTCCTGCACCATGGCGGGGGGGGGGAGTTTTTGCCCTCCCCAGGCTCCGGAGACTTTCCCCGAGACTCCGGGAGGGCGAAAGCAGCCTCCCCCAGGTTCCGGAGGCTGGAAATGGGCCCGTTTTCAGACATCCGGTACTTCTGGTGGGCCCATTTTTACCTTCCCCAAGCTCCAGAGGCTTTCCTCAAGCCCCGAGGAGGGTGAAAATGGTCTCCCGGGGCTCTGGAGGTCCTCTGGAGCCCAGAAACAGGTCTGTTTCTGGATTTTGGGGAGGCCCATTTTTCATCCTCCCTCCGCGCGGGCTCTGCACTTACCTGGCATGATGAACGGGCCGCGTGGAGACTCCTGGGTGGGCGGGGCCAGCCGGTCATTGCAGCCACCAGTTCGCCCAAACCGGTGCGAACTGGCTGAATCCCTCCCCATCTCTAATAGATCTTTACTTATGCAAATATAAGTCAGACATTTACATGAAGTTTAAGTTCTTAGTTTGCTGTTTGGCTTCACTCTTTCCAATAGAGGAGAATCAGCATCTGATAGAACTTCCGATTAAGCCTTCCTGTGAAATACACACTTCATTTAGTGCCCATTCAGAGTTTCGACAGCACTTAAAAAAAGGTACTTACAACCACGTTTTCACACTTTACGACCATTGCAGCATCTTCCATGGTCATGTGATTAAAGTTCAAATGCTTGGCAACTGATTCATGCTTATGTCGGTTGCAGGGACCTCCTTTTGCAAACTTCTTGCGAGTAAAGTCAACAGGGAAGTGACCAATTTAACAGCTGCAATAATTCAGTTAACAACCGGGGCAAGAAACGTCATAAAATGGGGCAAAATTCACTTAACAACTGTCCTCGTTTAGTCACATACATTTTGGCTCAATTGTGGTTACGTTGACAACCTGTATTTATATAGAGTTTGAGGAAGTAAGTGCATGGCATGCAAATTCAGTACTGAGAGAAATCAAGGTCTTGGCAGAGAAATGGTGGATGTGATTGTTTCAAGTTGGTGTTTTTAAAATGTGGTTACACCTGTAGTAAGCCTCTGTGAAGCCTCCGAGGCTTTTGCTTTCATCAATCACCCCTTCAATGCAATTCTGCAGAATAAAGTGCTACTGAATTTCAGGTGCATCTTAAACTCTTCTAGGAAAGTTGACGCTTCATTGATCTTTAACAAGATTCTGCGGCGATGTCATGCAAAGTGATGCCCTTCTTTATAGCTATGGTCTCAGACAGAGCGGCTTCTTTGTTGGCTTCCATGCCTAAGAACCAAAGTAATTTCTGCTGATATGAAGTGGCTGAACAGATAAGATAACCTTTATTGTCATTTTTTTATTGTGAGCACACTGGCACGCATTAAAAATTGAAATTATGTTTGGCTGATCTCAGAAGAAAGTATATATTCTACCCATACACATACATAAGACATAT